CGGTCATGGTTTGTGAGAGACACTTGGAGAAGTGCATTGCGTTGTAAGAGTTTTGTTTTGTATTTTGTTATCTGGTCAGAGACTTGATTTATGTTTATTTTTGGGCTCGCAGCCAGTCTGAGCCGAGAACTGATAAAGTGAGTTCCTTTTAAGTTTGTTTGCCTGTCGTCTGTTAACGAACGGAGAAGGGGGGACAGAACAGGATTCCATTTCCGTAGCCACAGTAACCCCAGTATGAGGGGTCTCCACATTTCTATTGGTTCAGTTATAAAATGGGGAGGGGCTCCCCCAGCCACTGACCCATCCAATTGGCAAAAGGCAATGGGCACTTTCAAAGTCCTCAGTCTTAATCCCATTTTCTCAACCACCTCTGGGCTATTTATGCAATGGGTGCATCCAGAGTCTAAGAGAGCCAGCATTTTCCCTTGTGCTCCATTAGAGGGCACTTTAAGTTATACTGGAATGGTCATGGGGCCCGATCAGGGATTTACCAAGTGGTTGGCATTGGAGTCAGTTTCGCTTTCTCCTGAAAGAAAGAAGGGCTCTTCTTCCAAGGTGGGAGGGAAATCCTCAACAGCTTCCACCCCTTTCAAGGCGTTTTTTTGGGCATTTCCCTGGCTGTCGATCTGGTTTCTTTTCTCCAGCAGCTGTGTGTTTGGGGCCAATTTTTGAGTAGCAGCTCGCTGCTCGATGCACCTCCTTCCCACATCAGAAACAAGCAGTAGACCGGGGTTTGCTTGCAGACCAGCCTTTCCTCCCCCCGGAACTCCTTTGGGGCTGGGTGGGAGGGGGATTCTTGACTTTAGCACTGCCTCCCCGGTATTTATTCCTGGCTAGGTCAATTTTCACATCTGCTGCCATCTCATACTAGCGTTGCAGGTTACGTAGGCCCCTCTATTGACACAGCTCTGGTATATATCTTCATTCAGACCATCCATAAAAACTGTCCATTAAAGCCTCCTCAGACCAATCCCACATATGCATAGACAACTTACAAAACTCTTGGATGTACTCAGCCACTGGACCTCTTCCCTGAGTAGGAGACTTCATCTTAGTTCTTACCTTTCACTTAGCTAGGGGGTCATCAAAGCACTCCCTCAGGGTGGCCATAAGTACATTGT